GTTCAGCAGAAGGCAGAGTGGAGCGTTTCTCCTACTGTGTTTTTCTGTATTCCCTCTTTATTCCCACCAGCACTGTATTTGAGAGATGAAAGGAGGCGGCTAAAGAAGTTTAATGGTGTCTCGGAAGCATTCTTTCTTGTCTCCCACTCGCAGCAGCTTCTGTCAGCTGTAGTTCCTCAGAGAAGGAAGGCATTGAAATGTGGTGGATTTAAATAGCTACCTTTTAATAGTAATAGCCCGAAATGACAGAATTGGCTTACCTGTAGTTTTTATTGTGCATTGTTTTGTTTCTGTCTTAAGAGGCTAGCTCTGACTGAGTGGGAAGGGGTTGGAGCTACACATACCTACAGAGTGATAACTATGTCAGGTACTGTGCTGTGCGCTTTTGCATGTTATTTTTGGTTTTTGGTTTTTGTTTTGGGCTTTTTAAAAAGCTCACACAACAGTTTAGCAAGTTAGATGGCAGTTATCTCAGTTTTGCTCAGAAAAGTGAAATATCACAAAACAAGTGATAGAGGTAGATTTGAACCCAGGTCTCCCTGGCTGAAAGCTCATACCTTTTTTACTACTTTATCATGAGCACTAAAGACATCTTTTGCTTTACTAGCTCAAGTATAGATTTATGTGCTACTCACATATAAATTTTACTTCAGGAATAAAAGACATGAATTAATATTAAAATAGGAACTTTCTTAGCTCAGCATACCCAAGCAGTGTTCTGATAAGTCAGAGGTTGGAGTCAGTTTCTGAAAGTTACAAGGAGACCTAACACTGGTTTCCACCTTCTACTAGCCCTCACGCTATTGAGATGCCTGTGATTTTGATTTTTATTTCTTACTTGGTTCTCCTATCCCTCTGAACTGTTCTTTGTGGCATTCACTACGCCATTAACAATTTATGTGTTCGTTGATATAGACAGTGAGCTGTGTGAGAGCAGGCTGTGTGTATCTTGTTCAGCACCATAGGTGCTGAATAATAGAAGTGGTCCTTGTTATCCAAATCTGCTTGGTCCCTGAGTTCAGATAGTGAGTTGGGATAACCAGGGATACCCTTATGCATCGGATGACTGTAAAAGAAGAAAAGGTGGGAGTTCAAGAGTATGAGGGGAAAGGGAAGGAGTAGGAGGAAAGAGAAAAGAAAAGGGTACAATTGACAAGAAGGATGAGGATAAGGAGATTGCTGTAGGTTTTCTTACTACGTGACTTGAGTTTCATGTGCTTTGAAATGTATGGTAAAGGCTTATTTGTGGGCAATTAGTAAATAAGGCACAAGACCTCGTGCCATAAGGAGGTGACTGCTCTATTCAACTTGAGTTGGGTGGAATAGGACCCGATTTTAGCAGTTTGTACTGACACTTACAGAACATTCATTATGGCGGTTTTTTTCATGCTGTGGTCTACTTAACCCAATACTTAAAATGAGAAAAGAGACTGGTTCCAAAGTATGAGGAAGCCTGCTGGAAGAAATAGCTTGCCTTTCTCAAGATTCCAGCTCCTTTTTTACTGTTGAGTAAAATATCAATGAGCTGATTGATATGAATAAAGGGTAAAGCTGAGTAAATATCAAGATGTGAGTCAGGGGTAAAGTGTTAAGACCTTACACGGTTTAGACCCCCTTCTCCCCTCCCCCCTTCTCTCCTGACCTCACTTCTTATCACTCTTTTGCTTAAGTACTGCTTCTTGCTATTTATGGCACATGCCAACGGTGTTCCCACTTCAGGGCTTTTTATATTAAAAAAACACACCAACAAAAACAGTAGCCCTAGCCGGTTTGGCTCAGTGGATAGAGCATCAGCCTGCGGACTGAAGAGTCCCAGGTTCGATTCTGGTCAAGGGCACATGCCCAGGCTGCAGGCTCGATCCCCAGTAGCGGGTGTGCAGGAGGCAGCCGATCAATGATTCTCTCTCATCATTGATATTCCTCTCTCTCTCTCTCCCTCTTCCTTCCTCTCTGAAATCAATAAAAATATATGTATATATATATTTTTAAATAGATTGTTGCTTTTTAAAAAGAAAGGAAGGAAAAGGGGAGGGAAGGAAGAGAGGGGGAGTGGGAGAGGGAGAGTACTCTGCCTAGTACTTTTCCACAGATATCGACTAACTTTTGCCCTTTAAACTTTCAAGTCTTCTCATGTGTTATCTACTCTTAGGCTTTCCCTGATTTCTCTGTGAAAAATAAGACACCCCCCCAACCCCCCTCCCTTTGCTTTATTTCTTTGCATCACACCATCTGGCATACTGTATGTCCTGTAATTTCCATGAGCACAGGGACTAGATTTTGTTTATTGTTGTATATCTCCAGAGCCCAGAACAGTACCCAGTACCCAGAACTTAGTGGAATGAATGATTTCTTTCCCTTTTAGTGTATTTCTACATGGGACATTTTTGTAGTTGAAAAAAAAATCCCCTCTATTTGTTAACCGGTCCAATTCTAGAAATTAAATGAGAAAAGAACTTTATTTCTTAATGTCATTTTGGTGGGAGGGGGCATTGTTTCTTTTTGGTCAGGGAAACATCCTATTGAAAAATTTCAAATGAAGATGGACATTTAATTGAAATGGAACAAGCAAAAGGAACAAATAAAGTACTTATTAGATAACCTTAATATGGGAAAATAATTTTATAAAAACTATGTTTTCTTCCAGGGAACATACTTTTATATTTTGTCCTTAAAATCAGCCTACATCATTCATATTTTCTGTTTTGGCTGATACTTTCCTATTTCTCTGCTTTTTATCACACTGTCTTCTTCTGCCACTTTTCACTTAAAATTAAGTCCTATTGCTTGATCAAGGTTCCAGGTTAAAAAGACATTTCTAATCGTCTCATCCTTGTTTCTTTGTTTGCTGGACTACTATATATTCTTTGAGTCTTCATTGATGGTTATATTGCTCTGGCCACACTCTTCTGTGTACTGTACTTCCCATCTCCATCAGCTGTCTTGTGAAAGGTGATATCTTAGTGTAGTCTCACTACTTGGGCCCCACGAGGTATTTGGGAACGGTGGGAGACAGTTTAAAAAGCCTTCATATGCTGTCGCGCAATGGATAGCGCATTGGACTTCTAAAAAGCCTTCATATGTAGTTCCATTGGTACACTGATATCTTTACTTTTTAAAAAAATATATATTTTTGATTTCAGAGAGGGAGGGAAAGGGAGAGAGAGATAGAAACATCAATGATAAGAATCATTGATTGGCTGCCTCCTGCATACCCCCTACTGGGGATCGAGCCTGAAACCCGGGCATGTGTCCTGACCAGGGATCAAACTGTGACCTCCTGGTTTATAGGTTGATGCTCAGCCACTGAGCGACACTGGCCGGACATCTTTACTTTACTTTTATAAAGGACATGGTCAAACTCTAGAACCTGGAAAATGCTACTTCAGATATTTTAGGTTTAGCCTAAATAATTTAATTAAAGGAAAGAGAGTTTTTTAAATTGAAGAATTAGAAAAATAACACTTTGTTTACTTTTATGTAGATGGGTCCTGCCAGTTTAAAAATACTGATATTTATAATTTGAGCATTCACAGTAGGTGACCTATTATAATATGAAGAAATATTTGTTTCATACTTTTCAAAAACTGGATGTTAAAAGTAGTCTGGACCAAAATGTGTAACAATCTTACATTACAAAAATATGTGTTAGGGTTAGGTAAACATATAACTATGGAGTTAGGAATAATATTGTCATATAAATGTCTGTAATGTACAGAAGTGACATAATCTAAAATATAAATAGCAGGTACTTGGATGGAGGGGTTGCTTGAGAAGAAAGGGGACTTAAAATTTTATAATGCTGATCTTTATTGTTGTTTTCAAGATAAAAATTTGAAGTCAAACCTTTAGAAGGAAGGTAGGGGAGGGTGGAGGTAAGGGGGAGAGATCAACCAATGGATACAGACACCAGAGGGGTGAGGGCATGAGTGGGGAGGTAGGGGGGCAATGAGGGGATAAGGACACATATGTAATACCTTAATCAATGTCATTTTTATCATTTCTGTTATTTTGTTTTTATTATTTATAGTTCATTTAGTAGAAAATTATCTTGATTTATGCTTAAAATGGTATAAATTTTTTTTTAAAGACATGAATTATGTTTGTTTTTTTTTGTAGCCATTTCTGAAACTACAGGTCAGCTATAGAAATCATTTTTCTGCTTTTATTCCTGTGAAGTCACTTAAAATGGATTTCTTTGATCCAGCTCTGTTTAAGAGAACACTTTAGAAAAATGTTAGTATCCCATAAGCATGTGTTCTAATGTTTTCCTTTATTTGTTTTAAAATTCTAGGAATTGAAGCCATATTTTATGAAGGAAGTTGGCACTCACTTTGATGATTTTGTGACCAATCTCATTGAAAAGTCAGTCTCATTAGACAGTGGTGGGTGTGCGCTCACATCCTTTTCTGTTCTTGGAGCGAACAACCATAGAGCTAAGTAAGTATGAGTATGAGATTCTTTTAATGCAGACACCTGCTCTAGTGTAGCTCAGCGGTTACAATGTGGACTGTGGCAAAAATGCCCGGATGCACACCTGGCACCACTTTTCGTTCGCTGTGTGTTGCCCTGGGCGTATTATTTAACCACTGGAAGGGTGGGTTCTTTCATCTTAAGTGGCTTATAACAAATGTGCATCCTTCATTTAAGACTATACTGACGCCGAAACCGGTTTGGCTCAGCGGATAGAGCGTCGGCCTGCGGACTGAAGGGTCCCGGTGTCGATTCCGGTCAAGGGCATGTGCCTGGGTTGCGGGCACATCCCCGGTGGGAGGTGTGCAGGAGGCAGCTGATCGATGATACTCTCTCATCGATGTTTCTGACTCGCTATCTCTCTCCCTTCCTCTCTGTAAAAAATCAATAAAATATATTAAAAAAAAAAGACTATACTGACACTGACATTTGAGTGCTTTCCATTTAAACCAAACACTGGCCCTGTGGGTAAGTAGTGTAAGTATCTGCTTAGTACAGATTAGGAAACCACAGAGCGAGCAGTTAATTGTCTGGGATTCCGCAGCGGGGATTTGAACCCAGAGTCCATGCTCTTTGCCCCATCGTTACACTGCCTCTGTCTTGTATTCTCTGCGATGCTTGTTATAAAGTACAGTGCATTGGTATCTATTTTTCTGATCGGTCGGTCGGTCATCCAGAGCATGGAGGGAAGGCTCTCAGAGGCCAGTGTGCGCTAATTCGCCATTCTGTGCTTTCCTTGGTTTTTCCTCTGTGGTCTCTGTGAGTCCCTCCTTTTCTGAAGGACAGGTTGAACCAGGAATGGTCCACGGAAGTGCCGGCGGTCCTGCAGAAAGCCCCAGAGCAGGTGATCATGCTAGATGTTAACAGATTTTAATAACTGGGGCAGCCTTTAAGATGAGGAGGCTGTTGGGGATTTTCGGGTTACTTTGACATTACCGAGGACATCGTAGATAACAGTGCATCTTCGAGAAGAGACCAGTAACAATAGTGAACTGGAGTAAGGATGGCTGGGGGCCTGCCTGTGATCTTAGGGATGTTTAGGAGAAGGAAGAGTGGTTGTCTGTGTGGTGTCAGGAACTAGTGCTGCCTTAGTGAGGTGTGCCTAACTCCTCTTCCTCCCTAACCAGATAGGCATGTATTTGCCTCATAGCAGTGCTCAGAAGCAGTATATGAGACAACATGCATAAACTCTGACTCACAGGACCTGTGTCCTAGTGAGATGGCAGTTAATTAATTTTTCTTGCTGTAGTTGGTAATCTTCCTCTTATTATTAGGCTTAAATTTCTTAAAATATTTGAAGTACTTACATTTTGTTTTACTTTTTGCTCTTTCCCAGAGATCTGAGAGCACCTCCAGAACATGGAAAGATTTTTGTTATAAGGCGATCTCTCTTAGAGTAAGTATTTTAAGTGCTTTTGTTAATTATAAGTTTAAATTAAAAAAATACACACAACTATTCTGATTGTTGGAATCACTGCTTAGTCTATGAATGTTTAAAGAGTTTGTCCTATATTCATATAAATCGTTTGTTTTGATACTGCTCTTGGTACATTTGCTGTGTCTTGCTCTTTCTTTCTGATCCCCTGGCTCTGCATCTAGTTTCAAAGGAGGAGCTAGAAATCAGAATGGTTATCTGTCTTTGATAAATTCCTTCAATTTGTGCTGCAGAGAACTGGTTACCCAAAGAGCTAGGATAGAGTTTTCTATTTAGAGAAACTACTTCAAGAGAGTTTTGGTGTTGCTGCCTTTTTGATATATAATTTTTTAATCTCTTCTTTGGCTATCCAGATTAAACACATGATAGATTTTTCAGATTTACTTATTTTAAAACCCTGATTGTGTGGATCTTATGAAAAACACACACACACACACATCAGGCAAGGTAAATTAATGGTGACATCATTTGTGAACTGAAAAGTAAAAGTGCGCTTTGAGTATGTAATTAATATTTCTTTTGTCACGTTCTCGGAGACCATTCATTCATTCATTCATTCACTCATTCATTAGAATACTTCTGTAATTTAACCTGTACTAGTTTAGGTCGCCTGAAATAGTTGGGCTGGTGAACCTTAGGTATGGTTGTGCTTTTCTTTTAAAAATGCATCATATGCTTATCAAAATAAATTTTCTATGTACCAAATTGATCTGTATTATTTAATTTTGATTAGAAGGCCAAAGTTTTCTAAATATCTAATGTAGAGTACCACTTCAGTGTTATGTTGTTTGAAGAGATTTATCTTTTAAAATCTCTATCTGGGGCAAATGCAGACTTTCCATGTAAAAGAGAAATTAAAGAAATATTTTGAACATTATAACTAAGATTTTAGTGATAGTATTCTATATATGAAAAATAAACAAAATTAAAATACACATTTTTAAATTAAGGAAACAAAATACATATTTTATGGCTCAGATGGGTTTTATTAGAATTGAAACTCCTTAACCCAGACATTTAATAGTATTTTAGATGCCTCAAAAAGTTGGGAGATTAGCATACATCTTTCCATAAACAAAGCTAAAACACTTGTTTTAATCAAATATAAAAAGTCCTTAGTTAGAAAAAGTCATCTAGAAAGTAATTGGTGTGTTTTAAAAGAAAAGTAACCCGAGTAGAGAGTGGAATGTAAGACTAGGATGTTCTGAAAAAGTTTTTAGCCTTTGAAATAGCTTCTGTGTTCCCTGTTTTCAGTGAATGGCCTTTTGCCTACATTAGAAGACAGTCACCTCTGTAGGTTTTTAAGAATGCACACCATTTGTTCTAAATGTTTGATATCCATGCTATTTCCTAGGAAGCACTATTATCTTATCAGAAAGACCCTTGTCCTAAGCTCTTCCAATAATTTTTACTTTGGGTCATGCCACTTACTGTCTCTACTTCAGGTTTAATATTCTGTGATTACTGTTTGAGATCTTTTTGGGGGTGGACTAAGTATTTCTGGACTGCTTTAAAGTCTTCAATATATGACATTTTAAAATCAGATACAGTTTATTCATTTTATTTGTTTGAACTACATTTACAGTGAGCTGTTCGAGGTGGACCACATCAGAACAATATATCACATGTTTATTGCCCTCCTCATTCTCTTTATCCTCAGCACACTTGTGGTAGATTACATTGACGAAGGAAGGTAAGACAAGAAAAAGGATGGTTGGCTAATTGGCTCATAGGATGTTGGGAGTTTTCATTGTATGTAAATTTTGGTAGAGGGTGATTTGGTTAAATTTGCTTCAGAAAATTCCAAAGTAGCTGATTCGAGGTTGAGATTTCTCTCTTAAAAAGTACAATACAACTAAGAAGAAGATTAGAAATTTCATTACTTTTATTTTTCTAAATGATCTATTTAAATAGACTATAATTGGTAGTTTCTAGGCAATTTTCCTAAATGGGAGAATTTTGTATATATGATTATCAATTTTTCTGTTATGGTATGCATTTCAGGTCAGTACTAAAAATAAGTAGCTTATTGGAATTTCACATTTGAAAAATGTATTTTTAATATGAAAATCAAATTGTAACTTTAAAAATGACAGTGCAGTAATCATACATTAAATTATAGGCTTTATTAGAAAATTAAATTTTGAGATGATATATTAATAGATTTTTTGTTTATTTTTATTTTTTAAAATTCTTTATTGTTTAAAGTATTACATATAGTATCACATATGTCTCCTTTCCCCCCCACTGACTTCTTCCCCGGCCTCTCCCACCCTCCCTAGATTGTTTTATTTATATTTATTTCCTTCTGAAAAATCATCTTTTGTACATAACAGTGATTGCTATTTGAATTCTTTAAATATGGACTTTGTGATAGAATATTTTAGAGTTTAAAATGTGTTAATTAAGAATCTAACTTTTGAGAAGTTCCAAGTCTTATTATTTTAAGTTATATTAGGTATTTTATGTTTAAAGACTGTATTATCTTAGGGCTTTTAGAAACTTTGTTATTGAAATATATTGTGAAGCAGTCTTAGAAGCAGTTCTATAGCACAACTTCAATGACTTCAGTGTGTTAATGTTGCTGTGTTTCCTAAAGCTGAGAGTTTGGGGCCTGAAAGTTTTGAATTCTGTGAATCAAGGCATATTTTTTAAAATGTGCTTTTGTGTCTTTTCTCTGTGCTTTTTCTCCCCAGGCTGGTGCTTGAGTTCAATCTCTTATATTATGCTTTTGGCCAGCTTCCTGTTGTTATATGTACATGGTGCGCCATGTTCTTGAGTACACTTTCAGTTCCCTACTTCCTCTTCCAACATTGGGCCAGAGGCTACAGCAAGAGTTCTCACCCAGTGATCCATTCTTTCTTCCATGGCTTGCTTCTCATGGTCTTCCAGATCGGAATTCTAGGCTGTGGACCGACATATGCTGTATTAGCATATACACTGCCCCCAGCTTCCCGGAGCATTGTTATCTTTGAACAGGTAAGGTTTTGACTGTTGCTCAGTGCAGTGCTGCACTCAGTTAAAATAATGATTGGAACAATAATAATAATGTTATTATTATTATAACAATATAATACTGATAGTCTGTTATTTTTGGATAAATTTTTATAACTGGCTCTTTATGCTCTTGTCTAAAATTAAAGTGTTAAACTAGATCATCTCATCTCATAAAACTTGTTTTAACTTCAGTGTTCTCTGATGCTTAATAATTGAAATAAATCATATTGAACTGTTCCGGATCAGTGCAGATTTTGTTCTTGAATACTTTTTGTAGTAGTCATCTATACCATAAAATGTTTTTGTAATTAAAATCCCCACTTTTGAAATGTCAGATTCATTATTTTGTCATATAGCTCTTTCCATCTAAAGAACGGATTTATTTTGTCCATAAAACCTTCCGATTTTCTTATATTGGGTGCCCATAATGCTCTGTTGACTAATGGAAAGGACCATGTCGGGAGCCTTTCTTTGATAGACTTTTGTAATATGGTGCTTTTAGTTGCAAAAGAATATGTCTTTCTTTAGAGGTTGTTTTTAATTTGCTTTATTCCATAAAAGTGAATTTGAGTTGGTATATGCAAAATTAAAACATTCTGTATGTGAAAAAATTTATCTTTTCCTTCCACCTTTTTTAGATTCGTATGATAATGAAGGTCCATTCATTTGTCAGAGAGAATGTGCCTCGGGTATTGACTTCAGCTAAGGAGAAATCAAGTATGTAATTCTATTACATCAAAGGACTATTCAGAGGGTATTTCTTCCTTTGGTGTTTAGGGGGATGGCACATTACATTCTGCAGCCATTATGTTTGATTTTCATTATGTAGCCTCCACATTGATTTGGAAGACTATCTCACTATTTCCTGATTGTTTCTGTTTTGTCTTGGTACCTGCAATTTAAAACCATTGATCATTAGATTCTTGTAACTTTATGTAATTTTTATCGAATGTTAAACTCTTCACACCCACGTGTGCTTATTACTCTTTGAGTTGCTGCTTAAAACTCTAGAAGTCATCTCAGTCACAAGAATAACTTAGTGTAGGGGGATTGGTCTGTTGATATTAGAATAAGAAGTCATCATTTTGGGAGATCAGGAAGAAACAACATAAGCTAAGGAGAAGTCATTTTATTCTTCTCTATCCTATGCCTCCTTACTTTCCCTTTGTAGTTCTGCTGAGAGCTCCTGACCTAGCCGAGTTTTCCTTTTTCAGGAACTGTCCCAGTACCCACAGTCAGCCAGTACTTGTATTTCTTGTTCGCGCCAACCCTCATTTACCGGGACAACTACCCCAGGTAATGGCACTATGCAGTACAAGTGTGCTGAGCACCTGAAGTGTGGCAGGAGTGAGGTACAACAGGCGGGCAAGGGTCAGCTCCCATAGGGCTACAGAGAATGTAGAATGAGTTTTCATTTTCTCTCTGGCCCAGAGAGCCCCAAAGGTGATTCTAGCAGTCTTATTTGATCATAGTAATTCTTGACAGAATGTACTTTATTTAGAAAATGTATTTTTTTGCTTCCTTTTTAGGACTCCCACTATAAGGTGGGGTTATGTGACTATGCAATTTGCACAGGTAAGTTTTTTTTCACTGCCTAAGGTTTGTTGATTGGTGGGAGATGGGGATTTTAATCTATTTAAAGTGTTTGTAAATTTATGTCTATTGGGAGCTGTAGAACTCTTTCTGAAGTTTTGAAATTATTCTCAATACAGTGAATGGTGTTTGTTTTGCCAACATCAAAAGTAATTTTCTTCAATAAAATAATTTGTTTTATTGTAATTAATAAAGTAATTCCATTTGGTTACTTCAGTCAGCACCTACATTAATTTTCCCCTCCCCTCCTGTTTTTATATTTTTTGGATATATATGTGGGCCTGGCACTCCTCACTACTTCCTCCTCCTGAACCCCCCTATCAGAATCAAATCCCAGAAAATCCCATTTTAAATTCTTGTTTCAATCAAATACCCATTTATGAAACGAATTATTTTGTTATGGGTTCATGTAGCAGGAAAATCAGGTTCCAAGAGCCTGATTTTTTACAAATGCCCTTTGGTAAAGGGTTGGGGAAAAATATGTTAGAAACTAGGTCTGAGTAATTTCTGAAGGGTACAATTTGCAATCTTATGCATTAGTGTTAAATGGAATATATATGTAAACATTAGAGGTTACATATGTATCTTCTTTTGAAGGAAAATCACCATCTTTACTTATCAAGCCATCATTCTTATGACTTATCTTTGTTGTGTTCCAGGTGTTTGGCTGCTTATTTTATATGTACTACGCCTTTGAAAGGCTCTGTGTCCCCTTGTTTCGGAATATCAAGCAGGAGCCCTTCAGTGCTCGTGTTCTGGTCCTATGTATATTTAACTCCATCTTGCCAGGTAACATGGGTACTGGTTAATTTGGCCACTTATAAAGTTGCAAGGAAAATAGAAAGCTATTGCACCTTTGATTTACCTGCTTTTCACTTATAAATTCATCTACATATCTATACCTTTTTTTAAAAATTTCTTTATTGATTAAGGTATTACATATATGTCCTTATCCCTCCATTCCCCCCCTCCACCCCAATCATGCCCTTATTCCCCTGTTGTCTGTGTCCATTGGTTAGGCTTTCTATACCTATCTTGACCTCTTCCCATCTGTCTCATAAATGAATTTTTCCATCGGTCTTCTGGCTTTTACTCAAGTTTTGCTTTCTCTGCCTGGATAATTCATATTTATGCTTTATTTCCCCATAATCTTGCTCCTAATCCAAGCAGGGCACTGAAATAGACTTTATTAAAATCACTAGTTATTTCCTGATTCTAAATCCAGTGGATGCTGTAGTCCTTACTCTGATCTCCATGAAGCACTGGCTGCTGTTGACCACATTTGAAATCTCCCTACCACTCTTTCTTATTCTCCTGTCTTTCTAGCCATACGTCAGACTCCTAACTTGCTTCATTCCACTTATCTTTTTCTGGAGAGATATGAGTACCTACTATATTCAGATGCTGACAATATAGCAGTGAACAGACATACTCTTCACTCCCTGGAAGAGTCATTATATATACAGGTTTTTTTACTTCTTTCTTTTCTCTACACATTAAATGTTGGTAACATTTTCCATGATCACCTTGTCTCTACCTTCTCTCTCTCCCAGATTTCTGATAACCCTCCCTGATTGCTCTTCAAGGGTTACTCCAGTAAACTCCCATCTGTTCCTCTAATAGGATATGTGTTATGTTACATACTTGTGTGTCTTGTTCACTGGGCTACAAGTTCCTTGAGATCAAAGATCGTATCTTATAGCCACTCAGCCAGTCACAGTCTCTCCCATATTGTTTAATCCATAGCAGATGCTCTATAAATATTTTTGAATAAATGAGTGGAAGGGGTGAGCATGTATTTACATTACAGTAACAATATATACTACATAAGGAGAATGAGCGAAGTGCTGATGAGCTTTGTGTCATGCTGGAGATGACATTTACCATTGGGTGTTGGAAATAAATGGGCGTTTGCCTGGCAGAGAAGTGGTGGACAGGTGCTTTAGGTGGTGGGATGGGTGCACAGGCATAGACTTACTTTAGAGTGGCCGAAGTCCAGGTAGGGATGATGTGTGGGACACTGGGAGTGGAGTCGGAGATAAGTTAACCTTATCACTATTGACATTCAAGGCTGGATAATTATTTGTTTTGGGTGGCTGTCTTATGTGTTGTAGGATATTTAGCACCATTCTGGCCTCTAACAACTAGATACCAGTAGCACACACCCCCCCCAAGTCCTTGAGTTGTGACAACCAAAAATGTCTTCATAATTGTCACATGTTCCTGGCGGGTGGTGTTTGGGGGGACTTCTCCCCCAGTTTCAAACAACTGGTTTGTGGGAATGCACGAGGACCAGATTTTAAAGGGCTTTGGGTGTCGAGGCTTTTCTATTATAAACAGGCTGGAATGAGTAAGCTGGAATAACCATTTTTATTTTACAAAATAATTCTAGCTAAGCAGGTGCTGACAAAATTAACTGCTTGGTATATGGGCTATTTGAAAACACTCGCTATTGTTTTATTTTCAGGTGTGCTGGGGCTGTTACTCACTTTTTTTGCCTTTTTGCACTGTTGGCTCAATGCCTTTGCCGAGATGTTACGCTTTGGGGACAGGATGTTTTATAAGGTGATGTATACGCGGACTCATTTCTCTTTTCACAATTTATTATGTCCTCATTGCTAGCTTTTTAACATGAACATTGTCAGATAATGTTTTCCCACAAGTTTTGAAGTCCGAAATTCTGGTATCGGTGTAATTAGTAAAGCTTTATCTTCTACCTCTGATATCCTCCCTTTCCCATAACATATGGCTTCTGCTGGATCCTGTGGTGGTGATTACAGAAGGAAAGCATGTGTCTAGAGGGTGGTATGAGACTTCGCTGACTGTTCATTCATTTGAAATTGGTTGTCTGGTGCTGTAGGAGTAATTTCAGTAAATTATTCCATTTAAAGTTGCTGAAGGAAGGAAATGACTTTTTCCTCTTTTATTTATGAAAGGCATTAATTCTGCTTAAAATAGTATTCTCTACTTTG